ATAACAACATGGTGCTGGAGAAGAGTCTTGAACATACTATTGTCTGACAAGAAAACAAATAGGTCTGTCTTGGAGAGGGTGAAACCAAGTTTCTCCTTGGAGGCTAGGATTTTGAAGCTCTATTTCATATACTTTAGACATGTGGTCAGGAGGGACCGGTCCTTGGAGAAGGACATCATGTTTGGGAGAGTGGACGGACAGTGTAGGAGAGGAAGACCCTAGGTGAGATGGATTGATATAGTAACTGGGGCAATGGGGTTAGCTGTGTTGGAATCAGTGAGATTGGCTCAGGACAGGGTAGGGTTCAGAGCTGCTGTACATAGGGTCCCTATGGGTCACAGGAGACTCAACAGCACATAACAATGAGAACAACATCATGTATGTAAGAATTTACTATCCTATAAAATAAAAACTTTATTTAGAAAGAAAAAGAATTTACTATGGATGTGCAATTAAATGTGGATCCAATGGTTTTTATTGCCTATAGTATGAAGCAAGAGTGGCATCCACTTCCTAAACAACATGGCTCTGGAAACTCTATGAACTTTGATAAATATCAATGGTTGTAGAGGGGCTTCAAGGCCTTTTGTTCATAGGGTTGCTATGAGTTGTGCTCGATTCAAAGGCAATCAACAACACAAAAGAGTATGAAGCAAAGATCAGAAACAAAGAAAATAATAAGGTAGTAACCAGAAGTCCTTCACATCACTGATTCAATTTATTTGACACCTACTAAATGCCATTGAAACCTCCAAAAATTCACAGAATAAGGGACAAAGATGTAGACAGAAACTTTCTTGGTCTATTACATCAGACATTATTTGGATTGATAAGTACTATCAATGTTTTATATGTTTGCAATGTTTTATATATATTTCAAGTGATTGATGTACCTTTGCAGTCTTGTCAGCAGAAGCAGATGAAAATTTGGTACCATCAGGAGAAATATCACAAGAGAGGACTGTAGCCTGGTGGCAGTCAAAATCTTTTTCTATTTTTCCAGTAATAATATTCCATACCTTAAAAAACAAAACAAAAACCTCTCAAATGTGACATTTGGGAGAATATTACATTAGTGAACATAATCTATCATGTTTATGATCTAGAAAAAAAGAGTTTTAGCACACTGGTAATTCTGATCACTTTGTTTTAAGTGACTTTTGGTATAAAGAAATGCTTACAAACAAAGCAGATGTAGGTGGCAGTGGTAAAGACAAAAAGGGCATGATAAAATTAAAAATTTCAAATGCAGTTACCTAACATTCATCTGTTACTTGGCTCTCTCAATATCATCACAGTATTACAATACTTTTAAAAAAACCAAACTGCTTCCAGTTACCTTCACTGTTCCATCAAATGACCAAGAAAACAATCTTGAATTTTTCAAGAGTCTGAAGTCTTTCACAGTTTCTTGATGGGCTTGCAGAAAGATATATTGCTTCTCTGAGCGCCAATTCCACACCTGAATATCAGAGAGAAATCTGTCATAAAACTACTGGAGGAGTGGGACAGTACACTGCCTCTTGTCTAGCCCTTTCTCCTTGTGACATTTCAGTAAAACAAAATTAATAACTGGAAAGAATATGGAGTCTCCAGTTTACAGAGAAGACAAAAGCTGGGGCTAATTAACTTGATTATGGTAAAACAAAATCCTTTTCCATCTAAATAAAATTTGTTTTCTTTGGTAGCTTAGAGAATAGTTAATTATGCCAAAGACATAGAAAAGCACAATATGCCAGTGAACTCATTGTCTAATTAAATTTTCCAGAGAAAATGATACCGACTACATATTCACAGATTTCTGAACCTTACAAGTAGGACAAGTCTACTTGGCTCCACTCCACTAAAACCAGCTCTATTACTGGAAGGATCAGCTGATCAAGGCACCTTCCTAACAGCTAACGGAATTTCTACCTTCAACCATCCTAGCTATCTCCTAATGCTGTCCTTAAAATAACATAAGAATTACAGGACATTTTGTTTTGGGAAGAACTGCTTAGGAATGAATGATAGGGAAGAAGAAAAGAGGAGAGAAGCTGAAGAACTATAAAAAATTAGCATACAAGTGTTTTAATTTACTTGGCTCCACAGTCAACGCTCTTGGTAATAGCAGCCAGGAAATCAGGAGACGAATTGCATTGGGAAAGTCGGCTGTGAGGGACCTCTCAAGAGTACTGAAGAGCAACGATGTCAGGCTGGAGACTAATGTGCGCCTGATCCGGGCTATAGTCTTCGCAGTTATGTGCTATGCATCAGCGAGTTGGACAGTGAATAGGGCTGACAGAAAGATGATTGATGCCTTTGAGCTGTGGTGCTGGAGAAGAATGTTGAATATACCATGGACTGCTAGGAGAACAAACAGGTTTGTCCTGGAGAGGGTGAAGCCAGAGTGTTCCCTGGAGTCAAGGATTCTGAAGCTTCGTCTGACATATTTTGGGCATGTTGCAAGGAGGGACTGGTCCTTGGAAAGGGACATCATGTTTGGCAGAGTGGAAGGGAAGAGAAGGAGAGGAAGACCTTTGATGAGATGGATCGATTCTGTGACTGGAGCGGTGGGAATAAGTGCATTTGAGATGGCTAGGTTGGCACAGGATAGAACAGCATTTAGAGCTCTTGTACATAGGGTCACTAGAGTTGCAAGCGACTCGATGGCACATAACAACAACAACAACAACAAGTGTATCTGAGGTACAAGAAAGAACAGAACAGGAATTTATTTCTATGCAATATCCACACCAAGAACACCTTTTATTTACTAAGTCAAGATGACATTAAAGTTCTTATCCATTATTAACTTCAAATTAATAAAATTTTATTTAGTACCTACATGTGAGGCAAATATGAATCCAACAAGGATAAAGAAATCTGAAGAGTCTAGCCGATAAAATGAGACTGAAAAATAACTGTTCCACAACAGAAGATAAAATAATGATAGAAAAGTTCTGTGATAATCCAAAGAAAGCCATTCCTTAGAGTTGATGGAGACAGTACACTGAGAGTGACCTGGAGGAATGGGTAGGAAGTACGAGTCAGACACCGCAGGGAAGGGCATTTCCAAGAGCACTGGTCCCTGAATACCAAGGTAAAAGCCCAAGAGCAGGAAAACATGAGAAGATTACGGGGATCTGGCCCAGTTCAACCTGACTCGTACGGAGGGTATGTGAGGAGGAACAAGGAGGGAAAACGCAGGAACGTATCTGAAGTAACAGTTCAGACAGCCCCACGAAGGTAAACTTCCAAGCTCTGGTCATTAGGCAGGCTTCTGTTTTTAGCATTAATAAGAGAAGGATGAATAAAAACAGCCACTGCAGCAGGTATACGCAGTAGTAACGCTCTGAGTCTAGTTTTTGATTGATGAAGTTAAACAGGAAAAAGGTCCTGAAGCCTTTTCTGATCACTCATTTAACCTTTTATTGATCACTACACCATTACCTTTTTTAAAAAAAACAAACTTTAATAGTCCAATTTAATGACACAATGAGGTACAACTAGAAACCACAGGAAAGAAGAAAACTTCACTTACAAGAAGTTTTTAAAAGAATATATCAAATAATGCAATTTACCAAATACAACAAATAATGGTACACTGACAAGTATAAAATGGTGCTAAAGGAAATGAAAGTGTTCTAGTGCCAAGATTTACTGCCCTTAATGTGGTAATACTAATTAAAGTGATATATAAATCATTTTTATACTGGTTTGCATACAAAATTCATACATATTGTGTTTCATACAATCATTCCAATATATTGTTTTATCATCATTGATCTGTGCCCACCATTACCCAACCTTTTCAGGTCCCCAATGGATCTTTCCTAATTCCTTAACCTCCTCTCTCTGACCATCAAAATGTGCCTAATGCACATTAACAAACAAATGGACTGACAAATTGTGCTATATACACATGATGGAATACTATGCAGCACTCAGGGCCAATGATTTTTTAAAAATACTATAAGATGTGGGAGAGGCTGAAGAGCATGATGTTGAGTTAACTAACTCAGTTTCATAAAGACCAATGCTCCATGAGATCATTATTGTAAAAACAGAAGGATAACTGGTAAGATGCACAAAAATCCAAAGAGGGAAGAGGCAGGAAGAGGGGTTGAGGGAGGAAGAGGGGACATCATCGAGCCTGGCTCTCAGATTTTCCCCTAACTTCTAACTCAGAATGCTCATTAGCAGAAGCAGGGGGCTTCAGAGGAAGAGCTAGGAGTGACAGTAATTTTAGGAAGAATTAATTAAGAACCCAAAGAGAGATGCTGGGGGAGACTGGGGAAAACAAAGCCTTTTCTGGCTCCCACATCATACCAGAGGGGCTAAGCATAACTTCCCCCCCTCTTCTAGATACCATTTCTACTAGAAATTCTCTGGCTCTACTGGACAATCAATCATTAGTAGCAACCAGTAACAGCTCCTCTTGATTGATAGAAAATACCAACCCAAACTGAGCCTGACTTAATGTTCTTACACCACCTTCCACAGCAGCAAGCAAGAAGCAAGACTTCCAGAGCAGAGAGAACAAAGCTTCTGATATCACTGGAGGGATTTTAAGAGCAGCCTTAGCAACTTGTGTTACACAAGGTCTTTGTTAAGGCAGTGAAGACAGGGATATGTTTTTTGTTTGACTCAAACACAATGAGTTAATTCAATAGCCTTGGGAGAATAGCTAAACTTTCACTAGCTTTAGTCCAATGTATTAAATAAAGTTCACTTTAGGGATGTCTCTACTATCAGCTATCATTTTTGCACTGAATATCCACTATAGAACTTTCCTTGACTATATAATTAATTAAACTCTTCAGGGATTTCTTATACTTGCAAGAACCAGTATTATTTGCATATCCTGCCCCAAGCAGACATGGCTACTCTTTATTCCTTTTCTGTTTCAGGGTAACAAAAATTGAAAATTACTGAGACTTCAATTTCTATAACCCTATATTATCACTAGATCAGCTGATTTTTTCAAATTTTGGCAATAACTAGTTCAGCTCAACAAAGATTTACTGAATTCTCTCCACAATCCAGGCACTGAGATACAAAGTTGATGGGAAAAAACTTCCATTTAGTCATTTACTTAAACATTAAGAAACTAAAATAAGAACCCAGCCAGTCATTTACTGAAAATATTTATCAATAATTCTGTTACATACTTTAAAAAATGTTTTAAATACAAAATAGCATCCTGAGAAGTTAAGAAAAGATGGTGAAACACAACTCTTGTTTCCAAAAATAATACAATTCTTACACTAAAATATATCTAAAAAATGATTTCTCAGACTGGCTGGAAATATCTGATCTTGAAGCTGGTCATAAAACCTTATAAATTTTGCTTTTGGCAGAAAGGTTATACAGTATACAATGTGTCTCATCATGATTTCACCGCGTATATTTTAGCTTTACACATTACAAAGGCATGTGGAAAGGAAACTAGCGAGGATGACACTGAATTTCACAGCTAATGTGCCAGTACCTTAGGAACCTATAATAAATTAAGTTTCTGTATGGAAGGCAAACTTCATTCTAATTACACACCTTCACAGGATCACATAGATAGAGTTATTTAATGCTAATACAAAAAGGTTGTTACAGCTTTCCATGATATAGTTATATATAAAATATAGTTAACTAAGTATCAACACTGTAACAGCATTCCTGGATGGTGTAAAGTGCCGAGGCTCAGCCACGAAGGGAAAGGCTTTGCTAAGTCCAGCCAGAGGTGCCCTGGAAGAAAGAATGAGCAACAGCAACCACCTTCAGAATTATCAGCCATTAAAAGCTTCACAGATTCTGGAGACAACAAGACCACCTGGCAAAGCAGTTCGTCAAAATAATCTATTGACTAGAATCTGAAGTCTTAGAACCTTGCAAGCAGACATCTAAGAAGCAATTATTGGTCTTTCCTAACCTGAAGTAAAGAAGGATGAAAAAAACAGAAAACTTAAGAAAGCAGTTAGTCCAAAGAACTAGTGACCCTCATGAATCTGAGATCAGAAAAATTAGATGCTGCCCAGTTACAATTAACAATCACTCGGAACAAGACCATAATAGGTCTTAGTTGTTTTTAGGTGCCAGAGAGTCAACTGTAACCCACAGCACTCCTCTGAACAACGAACGGGAAACCTGCCCTGTGCTGCACCATTCTCACCCTCTCCCACAGTGCTCCAGCCCACTGTTTCTTCACTGCGTCAAACCATCCTGAGGATCTACCTCTGCCCTGCCTTCTCAAGCATGGTGTCTTTTTCCAAGGGCTGCTCGTGCCTAACAACATGCTCGCAGTATGGAGACAAAGTCTCACCATCCTCGCCTCCAAGAAGAACCCTGATTACATTTCCTCCAAGATAAACTTGTTTGTTCTTATGGATGTGGTTATGTGCTGTCGAGTTGCCTGTGACTCATAAAGACCTATGTACAATAGCTCTTACCTCTGCCCTATCCTGAGCCAATCTCATTGTCCAACAC